TTTTTTTTTTTTTTTTTTTTTCTTTCTCGAGTAGTTTTCTCAGATCTCTTGAGAATTCCTCGAATTCTACTTTTGTGCACTCTGTCTCAATTACTCAAATATCATGAAATCTCTCCTTGCCACCGTAGTACCAGCAATCTCAATCAGTCTTGGCAAAACTCTTCTCAGCAAAAGCGCAGGCTGGGCTTTCGATCAGGACCTAGCATCAATCAATGAAGGAACCGACAACGACAGGGTAAGACAAGGCGTTTCAAATACCTTGACAGAATTGAAACAGATCGAGACATCTGTCGCCGACCTCTCAAACCAGTTCTCAGACAGTCTTTTGCAGCTTCGGAAAGATAATTTGCAGAAGCATATCATCGAAATAAAGACGTCCTGCTTCGCCATTAATGATATTATGCAGTAAGTATTTGACATTCTGAGCATGAGTCCCACCAATGCGATTCCACTTGTTAAAATAAACGGACTTGAGAGTCCTTTTGATAATCGACTGTAAGCATACGCTGATAATGTCCTCGGGTATATCAATCACATCAACGCCTCTTCAATGAGAATGGTGCGAACCCTTTCTTTCGATGAGCTGTTCAGTAGTCTTTTGACGAGTCTAAGGATATTCTTGGACACTACACCAAGACCAAGGTTACGGTTAGTGTCACATTCTCGCGGATTCAGGATAGGTCATTGACATCGGCAGGCTTTGAACTACTGGGTCGCCTACGTCAAGGATATCAGACTTCTTGAGATGGCATCAGACAACCTCAAAGTCAATTTTCAAGATGGCTCTTATAACATAAGCCGCCACAGTGCCACTTTTCTATCACAAAAGCAGAATTTGAGGACACGATTGGATATGCTTCTGTAACACTGGGTGGTGGAATAATCAGCAGTCCAGCTGATATACACCCAGTCATCTGGAGAGTAGCTAGTGATATTTATGTAGAGAGCTTCAGTAATGTCTACGAGAACTGAGTAAGGCCAGACATGGAGGCACCCATTGGAAGTTGTCTCGTGTTGTTAGACCCGTTGATCAGTCTAGCCATATTCTCTGCACTGGCGGCTCACAATATGGTCTAGATACTCGCTACAGCGACAGTAGCTGTTCGTGGTCGATAAAGCCAAGATATCCTGGGGCTGACCGCTTATCATTCAGGTTTGTCGATGTGTTTATCTATTATGTTAAACCAGAAGTGGATTTTCTAACCTTATGATTGATTCCTAAACTCAACACCGCCACCATCATCCGATTGCTCCAATCCTTCCTCCAGCTTTCCTCCGCACATGACACTGACATGCGTGTCATCTTGAAACCTTCGCCAGATTAGCCTTTTCTTCTATGACAACGAGATAAATATGTTCTGTTAACTCATCTCTCGATGTTGAGTCATATTGCCAGCCCTTCAAAGTTTTCTCTGCATCTTCTGTTTGACTCATGGTCAGATTGCGAGCCACAGATCGATCAAAGACAGGAGCCAAGCTCGATTTCCTCTGATTAACCGGACCATCGTCTGGTTTTTATCGCCTTGGGCCCTTTATTGGGCTTTTATTTCTCGCCAGGCGACTGTAACAACCCCTGAAATAACTGCTGGAGGGATATTGAGCACTTGGGCTGTATAGGTGAAGCCGTTACAACCAAGAATAGCTAGTTGGAGGATAGCATCGCCATCAAGCTTTGTTGCGTTCCTGGCTGTCGATAATATTAGTAATATTGCTGCGTATTGTATGAAATCTCCAATAGCTACCCTCTTCTCAATGATATGTGTTAGAAGCTGCGATATCTTGTCGATTGATAGAAAACTGGTTGATGTACATGTTGACAAGAGTGCGGTCGAGGTGATTCGTACAAATGACTGTTCCTGTTGGTGCTGCCATCTTGATCTCTTGTTGTCTCGCAGGATCCTTGGTTTTTGTGGTGTTGAGTCGGATTGTCTCCGCCGAGAAATTGGAGGCATCTTCTTACACTCCCCAAAGAGAGGCAAAAGAGTCATCATCTAGGTTATTTGATCGGTATTTTTATTTTTGCTATAGTGACTGGTCAGGCATTGTGGTAGAATGTCTAAATTGGAAGCTTGATGTGCTGTTTGCAGTACTTGAGAGCTGTGGCTATAACTATATCTATGCCCAGACAAACTTGGTCAGTGGGTTCTTGGGAACTGATAACGACGTGATATACATTATTGATGTTCCTTGGCCTGGATTGGAGTAGATACGGGTTGTTGTATTATGTGATTAGTCTGTAATGAGGATGGGAATCAGTTCTTCAATGTCACCTTGGTGATCTTAATGTGCCTAGTCAGTAATAGATAAACTGAAGACATCATGATACCGCTTCCCAACATGTTTGGCGGTATCAGAAGAAGTGGAAAACCGCCCTTTTGGGAACAAAAGAAAGGCGTACGCAGGATGGATCGCCTGACTCACTTTCAGCTGCTTCTTGACAAGATAAGAGACTGCAGGTCGATCTGCGGGTTAAAAAAGTCTCTGATCTGTTGGAGCCTGATATAATGTGAGCAAGCGTGAAGCCTTCGTTGAAGGTTTCCTATCATTTATTCTAATGAGCTCATATTTTAGAAAGACGGTCATCACTAATTCACCATGAAAGCGTTGAGGAAGTCGTGATGATTGAAGGCGAGATTTCTGAGATGCCCGTCACACCCAGAATATTGTTCAAACGATAGCTGACGACTCTTTACAGTGGCAGATTTCCTCAAGGACGCCGTTCAAACTCCATTACCTACTCAGCCGTGATATCACCGTTAGATAACGCCGACTCTGCACCGTTAATATACCTTCACTCCAAAGTAGGGAAAGACTTGACGATAAGCCAGGGCGTAGTCGTATCTCCTACAGTATTTCCGATATCGATGACTGCGCAGTTCTCTGTCGGCAGGAGAGAGGATTTGAGAAGCAGGCTTCTTTTTAGTACGTACAACGAGGCATTCCACTCGCTCTGGCAGTATTCCTACTCTAATTCCCGCCTAATCAGCATTCTAAATCTCAGAAGCGCCGATTTACAGCTTCATGACGACATCAATGAGTCGTTTGAAACATTCCTTCACATGATCAAAGCCTGCGATCTCCCACGCCTCGCGAGACCTGTCTATCGACATCAGAATCGATTTATCAAGGTCAGGGTGAGCATCACCGAAATGATGATACCACGTTCTGCTCACAATTTTCGCATCAGGATCCCTACGGAATCGCAGCGCGTTGGCTGTATCTTTGACTTTGTTTTCGCAAGCAGAAAGTCCTGATCTTTGCATCCACATCACGAAAGCTACGATAGTTTCCTCCTCTTCATCTGTCCGAATTGTTGGACAACCGATTGTTTTGGAAACTATATCGTTGAGATCAGTAGTGTTTGCAGCTTCAAGGTTCTTTATCATCCTTTGGATTGTTGCACGAGAAAAGCCGTGATACTGTGCTTCAGCATTTCGGAGAGGAAGGGGACGCTCGCTTCGCTCGGAAGCATCACGAGATAAGTCCTTTCGGTGCCGGATACGAGAACGAACAACCGCTTGAGTAGCTTTCAGATTTGTAGACGAGGGCGTTATACTCGAACAGATCACATATCTCCTCAACAACAAGCAGGACACGAGCTTGACATCGACTAAAGACCTTCTAAGACAACTTCGAGATTGGAGCTCGGCACTACCATCGAGCATGACGAACTGCACAGTCAGCTCTCCGATCTCGCCGGAGAAGTGGTGGCAGACTTTGGGCAATTTTGCTGTCTCGATCTTTTATTACTACACTGTTATGCTGGCTACCAGACCGGTTCTGATATCGTACATGCTGGGGAGGCTGAAACGCCTGGATCGCTCGGATGGTGCCTT